CAGAACAATATGAGACCCAGAATGGAACCCTGTGGCACACCAGATGTTACGGGCTTTAAGCTTGAATAATTTTCACCACATTGAACCTGCTGTAGCCTACCTGTCAAATAGCTCTCCAATAATTGCAAAGAAAACCAACAATTTTCAAAAAAATTTTGAAATAGGAGGTTTTTCAATCAAATTCTGAAGTAGGGCGTTCTTGAAAAGTTTTCTGAGATAACGCGTTTTTGAACTGGCTGCCGAAATAGGACGATCTTCCACACAGCCATTGATATTGTGATTCTTGTCATTATGTTTATGTAGATTAAAAGAACATTTAAACAGTATAAAAAATATTGAACCATATAAACATGGCCTGACAGATCATATTTTGTTGGAAAAGCATAAAATCAATGAAAGTAATTTTAAATTAGTCGCTTCTGAATTAAATCGCAACCGCTTAAACATTTTAGAATGTATGCACATTTATTTACATAGTAAAAATAAGGTAAATCGTGACGTAGGTCCACATTTCTCTTCTCTATTCACTCTTCTCGATTTTAAAGTAAATTAGTGTTTTTTGTATTCATGTATATTGGTCAACGCATTTCCTTCTTCCATTCGAAATGTGATGTAATTACATTTTCTTGTTTTAGTTGAAATTCTGACTGTCTGATGATGATGTCTATGAAATACCGAAGCAATTGTAATAAAATTTAAATAAATTATTAAATGACTTTAAGGTGTTTTCTCGTGTTTCAATTCAATTGATTACACTGTACAGCACTCGGCTGGGTATTGGACAAAACCAACTTTTTTTAAGAGACTGAGTCATAAGTAAAAAATGTAAGTTCTCCGTTTTTCGAAGTTAGCCTCCGAACTGATTTTTAAAAGATTAATATCGTTGTAAAGGTGATTTAACCCCCTTTCTTGTGATATGCATATTTGTATACTTCGTATATAAAAATGTGAGAAAGACACGTTTTAAGGAAAAAATCCCAATTACCAATTTTTTAAAAATCGGTTAGTATTTTTTCGTTTAAAATATTTTTTTTATAAAAAAAGGTATTTTTTCATTTAAATGAGGTTTTTTTTTAAATTTTTATGTACGAGGTATACAAATATGCATATCAGAAGAAAGGGGGTTTAATCGCGTTTACAACGGTACCAGCCTTTTAAAAATTGGTTAGTAATGTTTTTTTTTTAAATATTTTTTTATAAAAAGTATTTTTTCCTTTAAATGTGTTTTTTCTCAAATTTTTATATACGAAGTATACAAATGTGCATATCAGAAGAAAGGGGATTTAATCGTCTTAACAACGATCCCAATTTTTTTAAAAATCGGTTAGTAACTTTTTTGTTTAAACTGTTTTTTTTTTATATAAAAAAAGGTATTTTTGCATTTAAATGTGTTTTTTCTAAAATTTTTATATACGAAGTATACAAATATGCATATCGAAAGAAAACCCCCCTTTCTTGTACAACGATATACATTTTTTAAAAATCTTTGAACTTTGACCCCTTATAGCACCTGTATTATAAGTTTGCACAAAAAAAGTTATATACCATTTAAATAAGAGCAAAAGGAGGACTACGTCTATATTTTTAGGTTTTTAGTTATTTATATGCAATAATTAAATATAATTTTTTACCAAAGGTCCTATATCGAAGGCCCATATCTCGATTTCGGAGGCTAACTTCGAAAAACGGAGAAATTACTTTTTTACCTATGACTCAAGCTCTTACAAAAAATTGGTTTGGTCCAATGCCGAGAAAAAAAAGTTGATTTTGCCGTACAGTATTATATAAGAAATAGTTTTTCGCATTTTCTGACAAACGTTGAATTTTGAGTTGTGCTCCTTTTGATAACGGTGTGCGATATGTAGTATGAAATAATATATAACAATAAATTCCTCTTTTATCTCTCTTACTATGATCTTATATAGCACTAAGCCACCAGATCAATTGAAAGTCATGTCGACCAAAACTATTGCAACAGAAGGGACTTGTGTTTCCGCTGCATCTTCATCAACTTGTGGAGTCAGTGTTAACTCACCGACGGCTAGACGATTGCGTACTAGAACGTCGACAGGAGGAAATATGGGGAGTGGTGATTCAGGAAAAAAAAGCGGCGGTTGCTCTAATGCTCCCGATCGCAACACTAATTCCTCAGATTTCAATAAAAATGATTGTGCAACCAATAGTACCGGCACTGGAGCTTCAGCCACAGGGATTAATTATAGTGAAGATAAACAAAGTACAAACCACTGCAGCGGTACAAATTCCATAACTGGATCAGCCAAAAAGTACCATAATAGTTGTCCTCATCCAATGAATGATCGCGGTCGTGGGAAACCGGCAGCACATCTGCAGCCTCACAGCTCCAGTACTTTTAACTTGAATAAGACAGAAGAATTCCACTTCGATACTCCGGTTGAGTGTCCCGTTTTTCGTCCCACGCAAGAAGAGTTCAAGAACCCGCTGGCTTATATCAATAAGATTCGACCCATTGCTGAGAAATGTGGTATTGCAAAAATCTTGCCACCAGAATCATGGTCTCCACCATTCGCCGTGGACGTAGACAAGTTGAAGTTCACTCCTCGAGTGCAACGCCTTAACGAATTGGAAGCAAAGACTCGAGTGAAGCTTAATTTTTTAGATCAAATTGCCAAATTTTGGGAACTTCAGGGTTCTTCACTTAAAATACCAATGGTTGAACGCAAAGCTTTAGACTTGTATACCTTACATCGCATTGTACAAGAAGAGGGTGGGATGGAACAGACAACTAAAGAACGCAAATGGGCAAAAGTAGCAAATCGTATGTCGTATCCATCGAGCAAAAGCGTCGGTGCAACATTGAAGGCTCATTATGAACGCATACTTCATCCATTTGAGGTTTATACATCAGGTAAAGTACTAGGAGGTGGAATTGGAGCAGCTACTAGCGTCGATGCGGTAAAGCTCGAAGACGGCACTGATTATAAAGCTCACGAAATACCAACACGTCAACAGATCGCACCCCCAAATGAAAATAATGCCCGACGCTCTAAGCGCTTTGCTAATTCAAGTGCCAATTGCGGTTTGGGAAGTGCATCGCGTAACAATATGAAGGTCGAAACGAAAGAGGATTTTAATCGGGATCTATTACATTGCTTTAATGCTGCCGGCACTTCTACCTCAGTAATTGAGGTACGAAGTCAAGCTTCTGGAACAGCTTTAGCAAATGCAACGGCACAAAAAAAAGCACCTGATCCTCAAATAGTTGATCCCTTATTGAAATATATTTGCCACATATGTAATCGCGGCGACGTAGAGGAATCAATGCTTCTCTGTGACGGGTGTGATGACAGTTATCACACATTTTGTTTGTTGCCACCTTTATCCAGCATTCCAAAAGGTAAGCTCTAAAATTTCAAATGGATAAAATAGTTACATAAATATACGAATACAGTACAGCTTTTCTTCTTGTATGGCGCTGCACATTAGGGAAAACAATAAAAACGCTCGCATTGCCTGTTAATTGCGAAAAAGTCGTATGGTATTAATGCTACGTACATAAATTTTAATATGTACATAATATGTATGTACCAGCAGGGCACCCGACGGGGTAAACAAATCAAAATATAAAACAGTAGTACAAATATTCAGTTCAGCATTAATAAATTAAAGGAGTCAAACAATTTTCTTTTTGTTTAAATTAAGGCATCTTTATGAACCATACTTTTAGCTTTATTGTCCTTCAACTACTATATATTTGTCATAATTTTCTGTACTACATATCTTGTTTCATTATTAATATTAGGTGGATTAAGGTAACGATACAATTTATAAATTAAAATGAGTCTACTATGGTACATTCCGTTTAGCTGCCTATTCCCTTAGCTGGTTTAGTATAGCTCCGGTAGAATGCTTATTTCGGATGGAGTTTTATTCATTATGAATGAACATTTTTCGTTTAACAGCATCGCGGGTTCAAACAAACGAAATAATAATATTTCCCAATTTAATGTGAAATAACACAAATTTGATTTATTTCATTTCTCGTTGAGCAATAAGACCAACTTTTAAACTTAACAATTGAGTAATAAAGCAAAATAGTGCACATATGTAGGTAGTCACCCAGTCACATTTGACAAAAAGTAGTACATGAAAAAGGTTTAAGGGACGGATTTGTAAGTATACAATTTTGAAAGTGTCCAGCGTCGCGGCGGTCCGCGTTCGTGCGCCGCCCCGCGCCACCCCGCGCCGCGCCCCCCCGCCCCCTCCCCTCCTTTCGCAATTATGCACTGCTGTCATTATAACCGTTTAGAAAAAAATATAATAATAAAATGACACTAGTTCACTTCTGAAACTGCTTTTTAATGTCCAAGTAATGGGAATTATAGCGTATGGTGTTATTGCATGCCCCCCACCCATGGTGGAATTATACCAGGTGAAGTAATATCAGAGTGAGAAGAAATATTTTGACACTGCCTTATTTGAAAACATGCCTATAAAATGTGACTATAAGACAGCCGAATGTCAGAAAATAAAGCGAGAAATCTGTTTCATTACTTCACCTGTTTATTGCGCCGTTCTTCCCACCTGCTTGTACCGAGTATACGTTCAAATTTAGAAGTCTGAGAGTAGGTACAATTTTACATATTTTTTATATCACTACTTCGTACCACATGTTCGCTTCGTCTTCGTAAACGAAATCCACATTTCGGATATGGTGAAACCAGTGATGATAATGCAGAAATTTTAACTGAAGATAAAACTCAAAACAATATTCTCTGTGTTATATGCTGCGAACAGGAACGGCAACTTTTGTTTGTTCCATGCCATGTTCACGTTCAGCCACATGCGAAAAGATCGCCAGTGTGGACGGCAGGTACCAGCGATATACAGTGGACAATCCTACAAACATGCCAGAATGCAGTTCTACGCACGGCTACAGGCTGCCATCTCATGTCGTCCGAGCATCACCTTCACCAAGAAAGCCAGATGCTGGCGGCGAAAGACCACAGCACGTTGCTATCGAAGCAGTTACTCGTGCGATATCACCGTGGAAATCACCCCAATAACGCCCTGCTCCACAAGGTCCACACAACGCCCAACACCTCTTCGCATGCGCCTCTAACCCCACGAATCTGACACCAGAAGCACTATGGACCAGTGATGTTGCGAATGTAAAATTCTAGACATCTGCGGATGCGAATGCGGATGCGGATGTTTAAAAGCTAACATTCGCGGATGCGAATGCGAATGCGGATGTCAAATATTTTTAAGAAATAATTTTGGTGAGTACATTAAGGGATTTAGGTCAGTGTACGAAAATAAACTATATTCTACGTTACTACTTCGTTTCGTTTATTACTTCAACAGTTCGGTACAATACGAAAACAAAACGGCTGAGTTCACTTTGGCGATAGTACACTACAGTTGTTTAGTAGTTACAGACGAAACAACAAACGAAATGAATCGTGCAGAGAAAAATATATGTATGTATGTACATACAGTATCGGTCATATCTATAGCACGCCATTTCAAAGTGATATTGTGTGTCACTTATGTTTATTTATTAACTTTTAAGAATTTTCAATTAAAATATTGTTCATTCTCAGACAAATCTGATACAAACCCAAGGTTAATAATTTGTAGAAAGCTACAAAAAAGTGCAACAAATTTTCACATAAATTTCCAACTTTTTTCTCGGAAGTGTAAGAATTTTTTTGAGTACACAGTTTTTTAGCCCCTTAAATTTTAGTCTGATAATGTGCAAATTTGAAGTGGCTACGAATTACCGTTAATTTTTTAGAATTTATTATTTATGGAATCACGGACGATAAAGGTGTCAGATTTGCTTAGTTCCCGGGTGACTTCTTGGAAAGGTTCTCCTGTAATGAATACCTTGAAACTAGTTTTTTTTTTTATTAGTTAGCTGAGCTCGGCTTTTCCTAGTTGCAGTCAGTCTCAATTAATTACTCACCGCTGTCGGTACCATAAGCCATCAAATCCGTTTTGTTGCTCCATTCCATGCGCTCAATGTGTTGTGATATATTTTTTTGCGGCGAATGAACGCAAGTTTTCAACATATGTATCGTTAATACTATTTCGCATAGTCGCTGAAATGCAAGAAACCACAACTAATAAATTTTTGTATTGCCTTAAACGATGTGGGGACTTATGATTCGAGGAAATGCATCATAATCAATCAAATAGTTAATTTTGGATTTTTAGTTACGTCTTTTTGTATTTCAGCGACGATGTGAGTTGAGCCCTTTCCATACCATAATAACGATATATTACATGCCAAGTCCCACTCCTCAATAGATAAAAAATTCACCTTGAATTAATTCTTATTTAATTTGTGAACTTGGCTGTCGACTTATTTACATATCTAGGGTATTCACAGTTTACTTCTAAAGTTAAAAGGTGGCAACTTTAACAAGATAACACACTCCAACTGTGAGCAACCCTTATGTTTAAATAAAGTATTAAGTTGATCAACAATACCACGCATTGCTAGACCGTTTGCCTTTCACGCGTTTGTGTTTAGAGAGCATCAACAAACCACATACATATTTCTCTCTATTCTCTCTTCTCTTTTTTATACTCAGCTAGCACAGCGCAAAAATAAAAAATAAAATAACCTTTGCCAGCTCCAGGCAGGCGCAAAGAGAAACTTATGTACAAGCAGCGCTGCGCCCAAAGCGAAATTCATGTATGTATGTACAAGCAGCGATAGATGCCAGTTTAACACAGAACATAAACATGAGACAAAGTCTAGTAATTTTGCCCAAAAGTGTTATCTCTAATTAGTATGGGAACCAACAACAAATAAAGTTACCACATGGTAAAATGTTTTAAAGTTACCAGGTGGCAAAATTAACACAGTAGATAATATAGAACTGTGAGTACCCTAATCATTTCATCTTTATTTCGATGCGTGCTAATTTTGACAATTTACACAAAATTAAAATAAATGTTTTTGTTTTCGAGCTGAAAGACTAATAAAGGAAACACGTAACTTAAGAAAACACAAACGATGCATCCAGTTTTTTCAACAGACCTTTGACAAATAATATTCAATAGCTTCATAATTCTTACCTAATTAACCCTAGAGAGATAACCCTATTGGAAGTTACGGAGAAGATAACCATACGTCTGTGGGACGTATCATAGTTTTTCTTTATGGTGACAATATTTTTGGAAATATTTTTTACCTTTTTGTACTGACGTTGGTTCTTTATATATTTCCTTATTTTTTAAATGCATTTTTGGAGAAACTTTTTTTTATTATGTAAGAAAAAATCACATTTTCAGTATTCTTATAAAATAAACAAAAAAAAACAAGTATTTTGTAAAAGGAACTGCCGTTTTCTTAAAAACTAAAATGAACACATTTCTTTCGCTTTTTAAGCTTATTTAGATATAACATTTAAGATAAATAAAAAAAAATATTAAGTATGGTCAAATCAGGTACAAGTTTTGCACACTTCATTTATATGTTCCCCGCATATAGGCTTAGTACATTTTACACACACCATTTTAGACATACGCCTTATTTTTGAGGGGCAATAGGAACAGTATCTTTTTTTCTTTGGTTCAGGTTCTTCTCTGCCTCCATTATTGTCTCTTTCAACCTGTTGAGGCAATGCATTTTTTATATTTCGCTTCAAAGCGTTACTCAAACTAGGGGCCTCCAAGCGCCTTTCCATCCATGGCGATGTCAACGAACTGGATAAAGTTTTCATAAAGTTTCTTCGACCAGACGGTTTTTGGTTTCGAGACTGCAGGTTGTGGCAATAAATAACGTATGAATTTACAAAAGCTATGTTGAGCAGTCCGTAAGATATTGCCATAGGCCAACGGTTATTTTTCCTTGAGCACGACATTATTGAACACATTTGGTCGAGCGTGTCGACTCCTCCTTTTGTTTGGTTATAATACAAAATCATGTCTGGCTTACCACTACTTTCATCGATACTGCCTTTTTCGTTGCAGGATGACAGCATGAACACCATTTTAGAAGGCTTTGGTTTATAGGACAAAAGCGTTAAAGGTCCATCATAACAAAATCTGGCACTTCCAACCTCTCGCGATCGTGAATTTTTCATTAATTCCGGAATTTCACGTTTATTGGACCTTATAGTTCCCACCAAAGTCAATTTGTACGGCTCTTTTAACAAGTTCTTTGCCAGTGGAACTGACGTAAACCAGTTGTCACAAGTAATATTGCGAAAAGTCCCATGTATTGGTTTGGATAATTCCTTCACGTAATATTCCCCCAAAGGGACGTTGTTAGTATTAGTCGATTTGCCTAGGTATGGAATGGCATTGAACATATATTTTGTGGCACTGTCGCAAATCATTACAATTTTGATCCCATATTTATTTGGTTTATTGGGAATG